CAACCGGCCTCTCTGAGAGCCCCCCCAGAGTAACACGTGAGACCTTTGTGGGGAGCAGGGGGCGGCGATTTTCCACTCCGAACGGAGGGACTATCTCCGAAAGTCCCGCTCCCAAACTGAAATCTGGGTTTCAGACTCATGAAAGCAAGAACTGAAAAAAAATGGGATCTTTAGGGGGCTGGTTCCTCACCCATGGTGACAGCCGGCTTCCCCCCGGGACACTCAATTCACCCCAAATCCAGCCAGCTTCCCTCCAAGCCGCCTCCAGGCCCGGGGCCCCTGACAGCCATCTGCAGGCCCAGGGATCTCCCAGGGAACGTGTAAACAGAGCTGGGAAAAACTGCATTTCTGCACGTTTTCGTCGTGTCAGTGAAAAACACCCCGGGGCTGAGAACAAATGATAGGAAAGGCTGCCCCCCCATATCAACACCCCGCTCATCCAACGCCCCAACACCCCACGCATCCCGCAGCCGAAGACTAGAAAGTCAGCTCCAATGCTTTTTGGCCTGGCTGGTCCCCAATGGTGGTAAAGATGGAAACGGACCCTCCTTCTACCTTCTCCCCCAGGAACAAGGCCATCGCCTTTCCCATCTTGCTACTGGAGGTGACCGGGGGAGGAGACCAGGCTTTTGTGCAGGTTGGGATTCTGGCTGTGTCTGTTACGACTGCGCACAGACGAGAACATGGTGTTGCAGCCGGGCACCTTGCACTTGTGCAGCTGGCGCAGGTGCACGGTTTTGTAGTGGGCCCGGAAGGTCCCTTTATTGCTGTACGTCTTTTGGCAGAGGTGACACGTGATGGGCAACCCGGAAGGCAGGCTGGCCAGGCTCCGGTCGGCCTTCTCCATCAGGATGCAGATGGGGTACTCGTCCTCCCCGGGCACGAGGCTGGCGCCTTCGCCGTTCCCGTCGCTGTCCTCCATGAGCCCGGCGCCCTCCTCGCTCGCCGCCCCGTCCGAGTCCCAGGAGGAATGGCTGCTGCTCTCCGACTTCATGCTGGAGGTAGCGCTCAGGTCCAGGACGGTGCCTTCGCCCGGCGGGCCGGAGCTGTAGCTCTCCAGGGCGGCGCTGTGCACCTGGGCTATCGGGTACACCAGGCTGCCCATGCGGCTGGTGCCCTTGAAGATGACAGACGTCTGGGAGGCTTGCTGCGTGAAAGCCACGTCCGGATAGGCCTCCTTAGCCACGTCTTTCAGAAGGTATGCTGCGCGGAGACGGTCTTCGCCGCCCTCCAGCGCTTCCTGGGCCAGCACTTTTTGGTGGAGGTTTAGGTTTGAACTGTGTCTGCAAGAGTGAAAAGATGGTTAGAAACAAATCGAGCTGTTGTTTATTTGTTTATTTATTCTTTATTTTGCTAATCCTCACCTGAGGATAGTTTTCCATTGATCTTTTAGAGAGAGTGGAAGAGAGAGGGGAAGACAGAAACATCCATGTGAGAGAAACACATCGATGGGTTGCCTCTTGCACACGCCCTGACCAGGGCCTGGGCTGAGGAGGAGGCTGCAACCGAGGTCCGTGCCCTTGACCGGAATCGAACCCGGGACCCTTTGCTCCACGGGCTGACGCTCTATCCACTGAGCCAAACTGGCTAGGGCTTGAGCTGTTGTTTTAAAAACAGTCCTCATTCTGAGTGGAGACAGTAGGCAGATGCCAGAAAAAACCTGCGGCATGTGAGAAGTGATGATAGGGGCGTGGGATGTAATGCGAGTCTGGTGGACACCGGCCCACGGCTGTTCGCCGCTTGTCAGAAGTTAGCATTCGTGGGAAAGCCAGGGGCCTGGGAAGATGTGGTTCTCTTCAGTTTCTGTCGTCTGATTGACAGGTAACTTCCTGGACCTGATTTAAAGAGATGGCTAGCCCAGAGGATTTGGCTCAGTGGATAGAGCGTCAGCCTGCGGACTGAAGGGTCCCGGGTTCGATTCTGGTCATGGGCACATGCCCAGGTTGTGGGCTTGATCCCCAGCGGGGGGCATGCAGGAGGCAGTCAATCAAGATTCTCATTATTGCCGAAACCGGTTTGGCTCAGTGGATAGAGCGTCGGCCTGCGGACTGAAAGGTCCCAGGTTCGATTCCGGTCAAGGGCATGTACCTTGGTTGCAGGCACATCCCCAGTAGGAGATGTGCAGGAGGCAGCTGATCGATGTCTCTCCCTCATCGATGTTTCTAACTCTCTCTCTCTCTCCCTCCCTCCCTCCCTTTCCTTTCCTCCCTGAAATCAGTAAAAATATATTAAAAAAAGAAAGAAAGAATGGCTACACTATTTCAATTAGGCCCATTCGAATGGGACACTGGAAATAACTGGTCACTCATATGTGGCTACTGAGTGCCCGTGTGGCTGTATCATATAATAAAACCAGAATACTTTGAATGGACTGACGGAAATAAAACACATGATTAAAACGTCACCTGTTTCTTTTTACTTTTTTTTTTTTGGTTAATCTTCACCCAAGAATATTTTTTTCCACTGATTTTTAGGGAGAGTGAAGAGAGAGAGAGAGAGAGAGAGGAAAGAGTGATGTGAGAGAAACACATCGCTTGGTTGCCTCCTGCAGGAGCCCCTACAAGGGCCTGGGCCTGGGAAGAACCTGAGACATGGATATGAGAGAGACACATCGATTGGTTGCCTCCTGCACATGCCCCGACCAGGACCAGGGCCCAGGCCGGGGAGGAACCTGCAACCAAAGTACATGCCCTTGACTGGAATCGAACCCGGGGCCCTTTGGTCTGCAGGCCCACGCTCTATCCACTGAGCCAAACCCGGTAGGGCTCTTTTTACTTTTTTAAAAATGTGGCTACTAGAAAACTTAAAATTTCCTATGTGGCTCACATCAGGATCTAGAACAGTGGTTCCCAACCTTCCTGATGCCGCGACCCCTTAATACAGCTCCTCATGTGGTGGTGACCTCCAACCATAAAATTATTTTCGTTGCTACTTCGTAACTGTCATTTTGCTACTGTTAGGAATTGTCATGTAAATATCTGATAGGCAGGATGTATTTTCATTGTTACAAACTGAACATAATTAAAGCATAGTGATGAACCACAAAAACAATATGTAATGATATATGTGTTTTCCGATGGTCTTAGGCGACGCCTGTGAAAGGGTCATTCGACCCCCAAAGGGGTCGTGACCCACAGGTTGAGAACCGCTGGTCTAGAGCAGGGGTCCTCACACTTTTTAAACAGGGGGCCAGTTCACTGTCCCTCAGACTGTTGGAGGGCCGGACTATAGTTTAAAAAAAAACTATGAACAAATTCCTATACACACTGCACATATCTTATTTTGAAGTAAAAATCAAAACGGGAACAAATACAATATTTGTATTTGCATGTGGCCCGCGGGCCGCAGCTTGAGGACCCCTGGTCTAGCGCATTGGCAGGCATATCATCCCAGAAGTTCTACAGGTATGAAAATCTGACTGGCTAGAAATAGTAGGGTATGTGAGTGAGTGAGTGAGTGAGTGAGAGAGGGAA